TTTTATTTAGAAAAAATTTGTCCCATTTCTACTGACTCCCCCCCATATATTTAGCGCCATCTACTTTAAACATATCTTTTGCTGTCTGAATTTCCTTTTGCATACTTTTTGATGCATTTCATCATCTGAAAATAGGACCAGCCAAAACACTTTTTTATCTATATCTTTTGAATCATCTTTAGACTCATCTCTTTGGTCAATGATTGCAGAAGTTGGAGTTTTCTTTTGTGATCTACTAGGAGTTTTTTCTGTTAAATCAAACTATTCTGCATTTGTTTTTGGAACCTTTTTATTAATAATAGTTAGATTGTTTTTTATTTTAGGATTCGCTAGCCAGTTGGCCAAATCCTCTATAGATAAATAAGTAGCTTCCTTTTTATGAACATAGACTATAGGAGATAGAGTGCTGGATACTGGCGTTTGAGGTCTGGATACATTAAGATTAGATGGCTGAACCAGATTAGATATTTGGAGTTGCTTATACTTAAACTTTCTGTTAAGATGATTTGTTAAATCACAAGCTTTTTTAAAGTCATTCTTTCCATATCGAGGGCATTGAAGTACTATTTTTGATAGTAAGTAAAACAATTTAGCTGTTTGTATTAATAGTATGAAAACTTTTTTGTTCAAAAAATAATTAATTATTTCTTTCTTAATTTGTCAATCGACAAGAATAGCCTAACTTAATAGCATTTTTCATTAGATTTCTTTTTTTTTCAAATTTATGAAAAAAAAGGTTTGTAGCAAACTGACTAGTTCTGAACCTGATCTTTGCAGAAAACATGTTAGTAGTTACTATAATCCAATATATTAATAGGCTTCAGGATAGAGCAACTGCCTTCTTGTAATTTTATATTGTTTTTTCAAAATAAAAAATAGGTGAAAATTTTTTAACCAGGTTTATATACAAAAAATTTATATCTAGTTTGAAAAATTTATATCTAAGGCCATACAAACTTATAGTTTTAGTTTTCATATTCCAGCTGAGTCAACAAAATAGAATTTTAAAATTTTTTTTTTAATATATCAGCTAATAGAAATTCTCTATATAATCATATGATTAAAAGTGACTTAGAATACATATTTATAATTTCATATTATACATTACAATTTCCATTACATAATCTGTACTTCAAAAAAACTATTTATATGCTAGTATCAAAGCTGTATATACAATATGCTATACAGAATTGATAAGTTTTTTGACATTTGTAACTGACTTATTGATTCGGTTACTAGAAAATATGATAGCTGAAACACTGGCTACATAAATTCAGCACAGAATACAACAGTCAATTTTTTTAATACATATATATATATGGGGTCTATGCTAAATTTGTAAACCTCAGGTCTAGTGCTAATCTAAACATATTACTGTATAGTACATATTTATAGTAAAAAGAAGGCACTATAAATTTATTATACGTATAATAAATAATTATAATAGAACATTACAAGTATATGGTTTTATATTTTGTGCAAGAAGTTATACAATTAAAATTAATTCGGAATTATATTGTAATAGTAGAGTCGATTATATCTCAAACCACCTAGTTTATCTTACTAAGGTGTCTAATTACATAGTGCAAGTGGACTATATTAATTAGTGACACTATATAAATAGTGTTGTATAGTTTTGCAACTATCTTTAAGTTTACTCAGGTTCGTAGATCTTTTCATGCTTAGCTATCCTTTATACCACCAAAGCGAAGACAATACAGAAATGCAGTTTCTTAATGAAGATTACCTTAGAAAACCAAATTCTGGTCGATTTTCTTAGAATCAAACCTTTTATATTATTAATTATTGTGGCATTAATTACATGAATTAGACTTTTAATTAATTTCTAGATCTGATCATGTTATATATTAGATCATGTTACATAATCCTGGTGGCAATTTCATCAGTTAGGGTGTCTGGCACATTAAAAAAATTTGGCATGCCATGGGGCATGCCTTTTGTTATATGGTTTGAATATTGTAAGTATAGTTTTTATACTATACCTAATGGCATGTCATCATTGGCATGCCTTTGCCACTATGCCAAACACCCTAGATTTCATTAGTGAACTGATTTTAATGATGCAGTAGAGTCGTCCCAATGAAGTCCCAATAGATTTTTTGATATGAAAAGTTATGGTGTGGCATAACTTTTTATTAAGCTACAAATAAGCTGTATCTCAATTTGCCGTATCTCAAAAATTCATTGATTTTATGAAACGATTCTACTGCATCACTAGTAATCACAACAAATATACTCAAATGTTTTACGATCACTCTTGGCCAAGTTAAGTACATTTTCTAAATGTTTTCTATAATTAAACAGGAGGGAACATTGTTGTTACACAACTGATTTTATACACAGTATGAAACACATAAAAAAATTATTTTACAATACTTGATCAGACTTGATCAGTTAGCTAATACATGTTATGATTATAATCATAACATGTACTAGCTAACTGA